TTTCTTTCTATTTTTCGATTTCATAAGTGTGGTATCAGAACCATTCATTGATCTCAATAAATTTTTGAGAACATTAAGGAAGAACTTTCAATCACCTTTTTAATCTATTTTTATTTTTAATTCGTGCTTTTATTTTTAATGCAAGACTATTTTTAATTGATTTTTAGCACATATTATTTTTACCTTGTGTTTCAACCATGACAAGCAATATTCTCTCTTTCAGTGCCGCTCAAATCGTCATTAGAGAAAATGATTAAATTTGAAGAGTTAAGATGAAATCTTATTTTGAAACTTATAATTTGTGGAAAGTTATAATGAAAAATTAACCTCATACAATCACTCTCTAAAAATTCTACTGATATCAAATTAAACTTCATTCAAAAGAAAAAAATAAAATAATATAAAGTCAATATTATAATTCAATCTCCAGTTGTACATTTAATCTTCTCTGAAATCATTGCATGTGAGATAACTAGAGAAGCTTGAAAAGAATTCGAAAAGGAATACCAAGAAAGTGAACAAGGCACACAATCAAATTATGAATTTGGAAAGAGATTTTGAATCTCTTCAAATGCAAAAATGTGAGATCATCACTAAGTATTCAGACATAATGTCTTTTGATTGTCAATAAAATTAGGTTGCTTGACGAAGATTTTAAATATATAGAATAGTTGAAAAAATAATAATTTATGACTATTTTTTCGAGAGATTTGAGTCTAAAAGCTTCACTTTGAAAGAGTCTAAAAATCTTTCTACTATCTTTCTGACATAATTAATAAATGTTCTTCAAATACAAAAACAAAGAAAAACTCTAAAACAAGATAAAGTTATTGAAGATACCCTTTACGCAAATCACCAAAAAAAAAAGTTAATTATGTTTGTGGAGATTTGATGCATTATGTGAAAGTTGTCAACAAACAAGTCATGTTACAAAAGCGTGCAAGTTCAAAGACACTCAAGATATTTCATAAACACTAATTCCGCTTGGTAGAGTGTATTAGCAGAAATAATGCATGCATTAACTCTATGTATTAGTAATACCTTGTTTGGTCTACTTTTTCATGATATGGTTATTCACTCGGTGTATTAAGGTGTGTATAACTAACAACATAGATTTCTAGGTATTAGTAATGCAAGAAGTTTTAATACATGCATTAACATGGTTAAGGACCTCATTGCCCCTTAAAATCTTTTTTACATCTTTTTCATCATAGTTGTGAAGGATATATTTATAAATAAATATTTTTATACAATATATGTTATTTTTAATACATCAAATCAAACAATACATAAAAAATAATCTATATATATAATTAATGCAACATTACTAATATATTCTATTTAGTATTATTCTTATACATTTGAGTTTTGACCAAACAAGCCTAATGTTAGAAGAAAAATGTGGGGAGAACCAACTTTATTAGATTGTCACAACAGAATCCAGGAGAAGAGCATGTTTAAAAAATAATTAAGTAATTTAAGAAAAAATGTTAGAAATTTACTTTTCTTCTACTATATGATTAAACATTAATGACAGAATATTTTTATTTTTTATTTTAAGTTTAAAATATTTATAGTATTTATTTTCATTTCAAGTGCAGGATTTATATTAGTTATAAATTGTTATTTTTTAATTTAATATCTAAAAATATAACATATATTTTTTAATTACTTATAAATAATGAGATATACCCTTGTATTTAAATTAATGAAAGAATCATTACAAAATTATTATTCATTCTCTTTTTAATTTTCTTTTGTAATTTCTTCCATTCCATAACACAATTTAAAAATAAAAGTATTTTGTATACATTAGAATGTGAATTATGGGAGGGTTAATTATCCTCATACCTCCAACTTCACCTTTTTGAAATTTTGGCGACTACAGTTCACAGATAGCTTTTGCTGTTTTCCCCATAAGCAAAGCAGCCAAATTCAGCACACTCACAATTCAAGAATTAATGATGGCCGCCGCAATAGCTTCTGTTACTCTATTCTCTCCATTTCTTCCTTCCCCAGGTTCGGTTTTTTCTACCTTTCACTCCAAACTACTTTTTTCTGTATTTTTACGCTTAATTTGTATTGGTAATGTAGGATTTCATGAGTCATGTCTAAGCCTAAATTGGAGAACCCACAAGGTATTTCTGCTTTCTTGACGTTTTTTTCGGGTTAGATTTTGATAAGATAGACAAAAAGGAGCTGATTATCTACTTGAGTTCATGTAGTACACATGTGTTCGACGAAATGCTTCAGTGAGAACGAAGGCTCTGTCTTTATTTATTTTTTCTTATTGCTGAAGAGACTTTTTTGTTGCAGAAACAGTTAGCGAGGAAAGCTGGTCCTGTTAAAGTTACAGCTAAATTTGAGCTGAATCCTCCACCTTATCCTATGGTATTTATTGTTCCAACTTTCAAACAACATCGGAATTTCTTCTTTTTGTTAACTACATCCTGAATCTATCATCGTTGTTTGTTGTTTATTGTGTTTCAAGTATCGCAATATTTTGTGTTCTTGTTCCTTTCTTGTAGGATTTGTAGTGCTTCCCTTGTTAGTTGCTATGTTTTCTTATTCTTTGTACTTGAATTTACTACACTTGGACCGAGGGTCTTTTGAAAAGAGCCTCTTTATCTCTGTGAGGTAGTGGTAAGGTCTACGTACACTCTACCCTTCCCAGACCTTACTTGTGGGATTCCACCGGGTATGATGTTGTTGTTGTTGTTAACTACATCCTGAAAGTGTTTTTGTTATAGAAGTGTATTGACTGTGAGCGTTAGTGAGTACTATGATTCAGTTCCAAAATTGCTTAAGTTTATGGATTGGGAAAATCAAGTCTTGGAATGATGGGCTCCAATCGTAAAACCACAAAATGGTGCCCCTAACACTCCTGCTCTTCTCACCCTTCCTATTTCCCTATCTGAAGAATGATAATGCTTCAGCTTGAGTTTTTCAAATGAATGATAGACCTCTGTTCGAAGAAGAAGAAAACATGACCTCTTGCCTGTAACTTAGTTTCTCTCCTTCAATATGCTTTAGACATTTCACATGTGGATATCATGATGTAGAATGCTCTGGAGCCTCATATGAGCCGGACTACATTTGAATATCACTGGGGGAAGCATCACAGGGCCTATGTCGACAACTTAAACAAGCAAATAGTCGGAACAGAACTGGATGAACTGACGCTAGAGGACATAATACTTATTACATATAACCAAGGCAATCTCCTTCCACCATTCAACAATGCTGCACAGGTGAGAAACAGACAAGTAGATCCCTCACCCCCACCCCCATCCCCACCCTTTGTTACCTTCTTGGGGGGATCTCCAAGTGCAATGTCTATTTTGGAGAACAGAACTGGGTACCCCTAGTCTTTTATCATTCAGCTTCTCAATTTATTCTTCATCAAGGCTACACATTTTTTGTTTTACAATAGACAAGTGTATTCCAATTAAACCTTATGGTTGTATGGTTGTAATGTTTATTTGTAATACATATTTGATTAAGATCACAGTTAGGTGTTGAGAATTACATAGAAGTTCTACCAATAAGTGAAGAAATATCATAGAGAAGTCCAATGGCTCGATAGTTTCATGTGTTTTGGTTGATATTCTCCATCTAATTCAACGTCTTTTATATCCCCCTGGCCCTCTCTCTATACAGGCTTGGAACCATCAATTCTTCTGGGAGTCTATGAAACCTGGTGGAGGAGGAGAGCCATCTGGTGAACTATTAAAATTAATCAACAGAGACTTCGGCTCCTTTGAAGCATTTGTTAAAAAATTTAAGGCAGCTGCTGCAACACAATTTGGTTCTGGGTGGGCTTGGCTTGCATGTGAGAAATTCTTTACCTTTTATCTGCGTACTTACTTGTTCCTGTAACCCTGACTGTAATCTTAATGCTTCTTCTACTCACTTTGCAGACAAAGCAAATAGACTTGATGTAGGAAACGCGTCAAATCCCCATCCTTCCGATGAGGACAAAAAGCTTGTAATTGTGAAAACACCTAATGCTGTAAACCCCCTCGTTTGGGATTACTCGGTGAGTAGAACTGCATTCTTCTCTGTTGCTTTGGTGGAGGTTTCAAATTCTAGCATGGTAGTTATAATCATTAGGTGAATCTCACAACTGTCTTATTGGATGCAGCCACTCCTCACTATAGATGTTTGGGAGGTACGCAGAACGTGCTCTTTTGCCCATATATTTGATTCATTTTGGTCCATATCTTTTGCTATTTGGTGATAGTAATGGTTATTGATACCAAATCTAATTTTCTAAATCTTTTATTTGAAACTGCAGCATGCTTACTATCTGGACTTCCGGGTAAGCCTAGCTGATAAAATTGCTTAAATATGTCCTGGGTTTTCCTATAAAATTCCTATAGAAAAAATTGTGCTGGTCTAATGGTTGCACCGTCATCTCTTTTCCTCTAGAACCGGCGCCCTGACTACATATCAATCTTTATGGAGAAGCTTGTATCATGGGAGGCAGTGAGTTCTAGGCTTGAAGCAGCTCAAGCTCAAGCTGCTGAGCGGGAAAAAGAAGAAGAGAGGAAGAAGAGAGAGGAGGAAGAGGAGTATCAAGCCGGTAATGAAATTAGAGAGATGTATGTGGAAACTACAGATTCTGAGGGGGACTAATTTGCGTCATTCCTCTCAAGTTCAGTTTTGGAAATGGTATCAGGTCAATTTTGCGAAAGCAGAATAAAACGGCTTAGCAAGATAAAACTGGAGTTAGGATGTTAGAAGTGTAACGAATGTAATAGCAAGATAAAGCTGGGTTTTGATGTTAGAAGTAGAATTACACATGTATAGTGAAATTCATCTGATTTTGAGTCCTTATAATTGCCTAGTGCATCATACTAATTTCGAATGATACAGAAAGCTTTCGATATTGCAGGTGCTAGAAAGAGGGTTTTTTTATTAGATAGCATGAATTCAGCTACTACTGAAAAAAAATAATCTTTGAAACAGTATAATTCTCATTACTGAAGTTTGAAGGTACAGATGATATGGCATCTAACCATGTATACATTAGGAGAGTTTGTCCCCTGCATTTATTCATGTGATGCAGGACTAAAAACAGGTAACACCATGCATGCACAAGGATAAATCTGTTGAAAATCAGGAAGAATTTGCGGTTTCCAACAGATACAGAAGGAAAAGATAAGTGAACAGGTACAAAGACTCTATTTAACCGGTCAGAGCAGCATTAAAGGCGCTGTGTACATCAACTCCAATCTGGGCCTCGGCTTTCTCTTCGTCAGTCGATGCAGTGCTTAGCTTCTGTGCGAACTCCATGAGTCCCTTTTGAACCAAATTGGGATCGATTTGGTCAAGTGGCACAGCTTCAACAGCAACTATATCTGCGAAAGAATTTGCATGAACAAATGCAAACCCACCGCTCACAAAGTACTTGGTCACATCATTGCCTTCGTGAACTGATAAGATGCCGGGTTTTAGCTCTGCAATTGTCGCAACATGCCCAGGCAAAACACCCATTTGTCCAGTAGTAGCAGGGATGATAACCATATCAACCTGCAATATGATTGAAAAAAGGGAATAAACATCTTGGAATTCGAATTTTCAAATGGATGTAATCCATGCACATTCTTCATATCGACAAGTTCTCTTGAATCACATGACACCAAATATGACATCCAGCCACAGCATTGAAATTGAATAACAAAATTTTAGAGATTCAGGCAACAGTTCTAGTTGCTAATCAAAAACATAATACGTGCAACAGTCAGATACTGGAATGTGCATTTATGATTTCTGAAAATAACTGACCATTCCCAATTAAAAGTAAACTTACAAACTACCGGACAGCGGTTAACACCCAAGCTGATAAACTGTTGAGAAGTCTTATACAGCTCAGAAAAGCAGTGAGAACAGCTACTGTCTAAAATCTTCTTATTTATCTTTTCCCTTCACCTTAAGCAGCTGGAAGTGTTATTATTTCGTGTGTGTGGGGAGGTGGGGGCAATAGACGCTACAGTTTTGACCACACCCAGTAGCTTTGGCGCAGCCTAGTATATGAGTTAAGAAGTGTATGTTCAAAGGAGATCTACTAAATTTCGAACCCAGTAACTCAAATGATCGTTCAGTTCAGCTGCATCCGGAATTCATAAGTTCAAATCCTGAATCCATTGTTGCAAGTACAACTTCTTGACTAGAATGCCAATGACTTTTCTTTAATAAGGTACCTAAGCCAGATGCCCATGGAAACTACGGACTACCAAATTGAATTAAAATGAAAGCGCAAATCATCAGTCATTTTTCCTTGTCAACACACAACCACAAAATCTATTCATCCCTAGAAAGTGACAGAGGCACAGAGCTGCTATTTTGAAAATTTAAGACATTAGAAAGCTATTATTTATCAGTATCATAAGAAATTTCCTTGATCCAATCGATCTCTCAAATATCAATTTATCTGACAGCTGCTACCTCTTTGGTCACGACTCATGATTTACTTTACCCCTTTTTCCATTTTAGGATGTCCAACTCACTTTAGCCATCTACCAGAAAAACAAAAATTCTATCTTTCCAAAAACAAAATAAAAAATTGACTTATGCTACTTTTAGATTAGATATAGTGTTCACTCTGTACTACCATACTTTCACATATTTCAACTGCTATTATCTTAAACATGTATCAAGAGAATCCTTAGATATTCATTCAAAATACTTAAACTCCATATGCTCAAAATATGGATCAAATGGAAAGGACATATACTAAGATAGAAAAATGAAGGGTAGCTTGCCTAGCAGAAGCAAATATATTACTCTAGGCTCATGATTCCATTTGATTGTTGAGGTAATGCCTTTTTTTAAAATTAATACACATAACCTGTACTTGACAAGTTGAACGCACATAATATTGATGGTAGAGGACAAGCATCACTAGACATTTAAAGAAGCAGCAAACGAAAAGATCAGAGCAGAAACCAAATTTTGTGCACTATCTAATTCTGTAGTCAATGCCCACGGAAAGTTATTGTTGAACAATGTATGGTTAAAGCAACAGGGGAGAGGGCATATTGCTTACAAATAAGTCATTTAGCAAGGACAGGAAAAAAGCAAGACATAGTCTCTGCATCAAGCACTTGACTACCTGGTCTTAATATATTTCCCTTCAATTAACAAGTCTTAACACCAAAACATTTGTAATCTACTCGACTGATACAATTCTCCAATGTAGAAATTTTCCAGCTTTTATTTTCATGTCATTATCAGTTAACAAATGTGAACTTGGTATCGTCCAAGTTCGTACAGCAGAACTAGAGCTTATCTGGAACAAGATTTCTTGAAAATACTCAAGGATTTATTGCAACCCAGCCATTTCAAGCTTTAACATGAGAAATTGACTAGCATGACTGATGACATCTGCATATCATGAGCTGGTTGATCTTCAACGCATTTCATGCGTTTTAAAAACTAAGCCACAACATCAGCAAAAGTAACGACTGTTTAAAGTTGGTTGTGAACTTGAAACTAAGCAACCACCAAACTAGAATAGGAAAAGCAACAGTAGTTTACAGTTGGTTCTGATACTTGAAACTAGCATCCACCATCAATTCATCTCAGTCATTAGCATGGGAGAAGTTGGAATTATATAAAATCATCTATAACACACTCGAAGATCATTAATAAATCAAAGGCAGTACGTATTTGTAATCCAACAAACTCTCATTTTTCTCTGCCTCACTCAGCTTGTTAATTATCAACAACCAGTTTGAAAGAAACAAATCTAAAAAAAAAGTCAAAATAGAGAAAGCAATCAGAGGAAAGATAGAGATAGCTTAAGGGAAAAGCGAAAAAATTCTCCCGATTTCACCAAAACATTTCCAGAATTCCATTTTACTAACCACAAATTAGAATAAGTAGTAAAATTAATAAATGCTAATAGAAAGAAAAGAATTTCGTTTGTACATTACCTCTTTACCGGAGAGTTCAGATGAATAAGGAAGGACAAAGTTGACACTGAGTTTGGAAGGGATAGATGATGGAGTTACGGGCCTAGGTTTTATGAAGGCAGAGGGAGTCATAGGAGGTTCCGTGGTTGGTATTACTTTCTTCCATGCCTCCGGAAAAGTGGAATCAACGCGATTCGCCGCTGGCAGGTCAGTTGAAAAAGGGCGGCGCCACGCCATCGTGGTGGCTCTAGTTAGGAGTCTAGAACTTTGTCGGAGCATGATTGTGGATGGTTCAGGAGGCGGAGATCGGCGGCGATTGATCGGAAATGGCAGGGCAGGTCGCTGTTGTTCAGGGGGCTGTGCAAAGAGGTTCAGGTTATTTCGGATCAAATTACAGGCCCAAAGAAGGACCGCTAAAGTTCAGGAATATGGGGAGAAAAGAGGGAAATAGTCACTATTTAAATTGATATAATTAAATTTGAATTTGAATAGTTTCATAAAAGGCTATAGTATAGATATACTAGATATGAGGCCCCGTGCTGGTATATGTTACTGTTTCTGTTTTAATTTATGCGGTACATATGAAATTTGAAATTAATCAATTTTTTAGTATGTTTTTATATATTTTAAGTTGCTAATTATTTGTATTTAGAGTATGTTTTACGTAAATATATTAGAAATCACAATAATTAACAAGTTAATATAAAAAAAACTTATAAAAAATTCATTGACTTTTGAAATTTCATTTGTATCACATAAATCAGGACCGAGTAATATATATGAAAATTACATAAAACGTACTATAACTCACAATAATTAGCAACTTAAAATATCTATATATCTATATTTCTCCCAATTTATGCGGTATAGATGAAATTTTGAAAGTTAACAAAAACTTTTTATATGTTTTGAAATATTTTAAGCTATTAATTATTATTGATTTATAATACTTTTTACATAAAAAAATTATTTATATAAAGTATAAAAGAAAAAATTTAGAAAAAGGAAACATAAATGTCAGCAGGAGTCCAATCTATGTTAATTTCTATGTTTTAATTATTGTAATACCGATTGAATTTGGAGAGCCAACTAAAAATTTTGAAAGGATTTTTTTTATAAATTTTAAGTTGTTAATTATTATAATTTATAATATTTTTATTAATTTTAAACCAATATATGTTTTTCTCTGTCTCAATTACATGAGACATATGGAATTTGGAGAGTCAACTAAAAATTTTAAATATGCTAAGTTGTTAATTATTATATCTTATAGTATTATTACGTGATTTTCAAATAAAATATGTATTTTTTAATTTCAATTTATATGTCATTGATATAATTACATATATTAAGTAATGAAGAATTAATGTGTAAATTATGTGACACCTATGAATTTTGGAGTGTAAATCAAATTAGCTATATGATTTACAAAAAAAAAAAGGTTAATTATTACAATTCATAATACTTTTTATATATTTTTTAAATGATATTGATATTAGTATTATAATAAATTAAATTTTATTATTTTAAATTTATGATCTGAATTGTCAGCCTATGCCACATTATAAAATGTTCCAAAGTAGATATCAGATTTACAAAAATGTCGATATCAGCTAAAGTAATAAAATAACATCTAAGGGCATGAACCTATATATGTATATATAAAGTTGAATATTGACAATTTGATGTGGCATCTCTCTATGACCAGTATTTGTATTCATATTTTTTTCCTTTTTTTGACATTTTATCTTTGTTTTGTATTTTTTATTTGTACTTAAAAAAAATGTATTTATGTCATACCCGATTAATTATGCCCTTTATAACATCCATTACACTAATATAAATTTAAGTAAATGAAAATGGAAGATGAAAAGATAAAAACTATTCATTTTTTATAACTGTTTATAATTATTTAGCCTATAAAATAAAAATAAAATAGTTGAGCATTTGTAACAAATAAGAACAAATTTCTTCACTTTGGTTCTTCTTCTTCTGACGATAATGATCAATATATGGTATCAACTTTTGTCGCTAAGATGTCCATCAAATTTCTAGGTCATGTGACTTTTTTAACAAAAGAGAAAGGGAGAATATCTCATTATTCTTGTGAAGACATTGATGTAAAGAAAGAGATTATGTAACAAAAAATTCTTTTCAAAATAAAAAACATTTTGAAAAAATGTTTATTCCTCCTACAAGGACAGAAAATTCATTGTGATTGAGAAATTTATAAGAAGCCTGATTAGTATTTTAAAGGGTAAGAAAAATTATTTGGAGAAAAAATCATTCTATTTATGGAATTCGTATCAAATTAGGAGGAGAACAAGCAAAAATTTATTTTGTGACTTGAAAAGAGAGAAAATTAGATATTATTTCTTTCAACCTCATTATTCTTCTAATTTCTTTCTTCTTTTATTTTGTCTTGATTTTTTGTATCTTTAATTAAAGTTTTTTTTTCTTATTTATCTTTAATTAAAGTTTATATATATTTTCTTAAAAAAGAATTTAAAAAGATGATCATATTTAGTTTCTTTCCTCATCAATGCTATTAATCTCATAATTAGTCACTACAAAAAAACCCCAAATTGCCAACAGATTTTACTAACAACTTAAGTTGGTTAGTATTCTACTAACGAATTACCAACATATTTCTAACTGAATTATATTTTAAAACCTAACAACCAAATTCTAACAGATTACCAACCAAAATCTTACTAACTAAGTATTTTAGTTGGTAAATACGGCGGGAAAAAATGGCGCCAAATTTAGCAACATTCTATCAACGGATTACCAACTGAAATATTACTAACGCACACTTTTTGTTGGTAATATTACCAACGAAGTATATATCGGTTGGAAAATATGACAAAAAATTGTTTATATAATTTATTAACATATTACCAATGAATTACTAACCAAACATTTACCAACGGCAAGATTGTGTTGCTAAATTTACCAACCAAATATAAATGTGTTGGTAAATTAGTAACGAAATGTAATTCGTTGGTAAACTTGCCAACCAATATCCAATTAGTTGAAAATTTTGCCGACGAATAAAGATTGTAGTTAGTAAATTACTAACATCATTAAAATAGTTGGTAATATACCAACCGATCATTAATCCATTGGTAAAATTTACCAACATATTAATTATTAGTTGGTAATATTAGATATGAATGTTTAGTTGAATAGTAACTATTACCTACAGTGATACAATTTATTGGTAAATTATTAATCATAACTTATATTTGAATAGTTGATAAATTTATCAATTGAAGTTAAACTTTTTGGTAAATTAGCGTCTAGTGTTGAGGCTTTCATATTCAGTTTGTGTCGTTAGGCGTTTTAACTTTTAAATTTTAGCCAAAACTTGACTTTGGTCAATATTTTTGGTAAACGTGCTCAGATTAGAACTCTGTCAGTGTCATTAGCTTCGAAAGGTCATTTTTGATCTAACAGGAAGGTTGGTTCAAGTTTTGAGGCTTCCGTTTTTTGTTTGTTCCGTTAGGTGTTTTATATCTAATGTTTTGGCCAAAATTTGACTTTGGTCAATAGTTTTATGAACGTGCTCAGGTGAGAATTCTGTCAGCGTAATTAACTCCAAAGGTAATTTTTTTATCTAATAGGATGGTTGGTTCGGGTTTTGAGGCTTTCATTTTTAGTGTGTGTCGTTAGTTGTTTTAACTTATAAATTTTGGCCAAAATTTAACTTCGATCAATATATTTGATAAACATGCCCAGATGAGAATTTCGTCAGTGCAGTTAGATGCGAAAGGTCATTTTTGATGTAATAAGATAGAGGGTTCAGGTTTTGAGGCTTCCATTTTTAGTTTGTGTCGTTAGGCATTTTAACTTTTAAGTTTTGGCCAAAATTTCACTTTAGTCAATATTTTTGGTAATCATGCTCCAAATGAAATTTTGTCACCGCGGTTAGCCATATAAGTTCAGTTTTGGTCTCATAGGATGGTTGGTTCAGGTTTTGAGACTTTTGTTTTCAGTTTGTGTCGTTAAGCGTTTTAACTTTTAACTTTTGGCTAAAATTTGAATTAGGTCAATTTTTTTGGGAATCATGCTCAAATTTGAATTTCGTCAGCGTGGTTAGCTTTGAAAGGTCATTTTTCTCTTATAGGATGGTTGGTTTGGATTTTGAGGTTTTCATATTCAGTTTGTACCGTTAGGCGTTTTAACTTTTAACTTTTGGCCAAAATTTGACTTTGCTTAACATTTTTAGTAAACGTGCTCTGATGAGAATTTTGTCAGCGCGATTAGCTTTGGAGGTCATTTTTATATCTAATAGGATGGTTGGTTCAAGTTTTGAGGCTCCAATTTTCAGTTCTACTGTTAGGCGTTTTAACTTTTAAATTTTGGCCAAGATTTAGATTTGGTCAATATTTTTGGTAAACGTGCTCAAATTAATTTTTTTGATATAATGATATGTGTCATATTGAAATTAATTAAACTCGTTATCATAGATTTTGCATTATTTCATTCATTTATGATTTATAAAATTGATATTAATATTTTTGGATTTATATTCGTGCTCTTAGATTTTTAAATGCAATAAATTAATAAATATTTTACTATTGGATAATCATTAAGTTAATGATAGTTTGAACATTTGTCAATCAATTACTAACCTAACATTGAACTTAATTGAATGATATATTACCAACAATCTAACAATCAATTAGTAAATTTATTAGAAAAACAAATAATCATACTAACGTATTTAAATTTTATTACCAACAAAGGTTGTGGTGGAGTGGTAAGTACTCCTTCATCCTTAACCAAGAGGTTTCAGGTTCGATTCCCCTTGGGTACGGAGTCGCCTTGAATGATATATTAACAATAAATTAACAATATTAGTAAATTTATTAGAAAAACAAATAATCATACTAACGTATTTAAAATTTATTACCAACAAGGGTTCTGGTGGAGTGGTAAGTACTCTTTCATCCTTAACCAAGAGGTCTCAGGTTCGATTCCCCTTGGGTACAGAGTCGCCTTTGTTAGGGAGCGCTTTACTCCCCAATGTGGGACTTCCTGGAGTGAATTCGAATTTAGTCGGGCTGCGGTGTGGGCCAATGTGGGACTTCCCGGCGTGAATTCGGATTTAGTCGGGTTGCGGTGTGGGTACCGAACACCGGATGGGAAACAAAAAAAGAAAGTATTTAAAATTTATTGGTAAATTACTAACATAAATTTACTATAATTACCAACGTATTACCAACGGAATCGAATAATGAAGAAAAAAATTTACTAACTCCTTTTCAATTCGTTAGTAAAGGTACTAACGATATACTAACCAAAAATTAGTTGGTAAATTTACCAACGGAAATTTCAGGGTCATGTTTCAAAATTTTGTAACAGCATCTTTGGGTGTTTACCAATTGATTGTTGGTTGGTAAGTTTACCAACAAATTAAAATCGGTTGGTAATATTTACCGACAAGCTTTTTAGCAACGGATTAATATAAGTTAGCATTTGGTTGGTAACTCAATTTTCCAACCAATTTGATCAATTTACCAACAATTTTTTTTGTTGGTAATTGGGGTTCCTTTTGTAGTGGTGTTATTTATATTATTTTCTTAATTACTTTTTTTTCTTTCATTTAATTATTTATTTGAAGAAATTAGTTATTATAACTTTATAAGAATTACACATGTATTTTTACATAATTGATTTGTTATTTTTAAAATTTTTGGATCATTCTTCATCTTAAAGTTTCTATCTATATGTAATAATAAAGCTAAAATAGAAAATGTGGGGTGACACCTTCTTAGCAATAGATACTTATTTATTCTGATCAATGTTTCTGACATTTTTTGTTATTTTTTCCTTAAAATAATTGTTGCCTCGATTTTTAGTTTTAGTTTTATTTTTGTAGCATTTTCTAATTTTAAAAGACTGAAAAATTTATATTGAAAATTTACAAAATATAAAAAATGATTTATTTAACTCCTATCATCATCAATATTATTATTAATTTGTTTTACTTCTTTTCTTAATCTTCATTTCATCATTAATGTAATTTATATCATTTTCTTAGATATATATATATATATATATATATATATATATTTGTGACATTTCTTAGAAGTTAGGATTACTATTTCTATAATTTTTAAAATTTTTGAATTCTTTTGTCATACTAAATACAACATGTTTTATTATAATTACATTTAATATATTAATCAATATGTTGTACGAATGAAAAGAAAATTATCATTTCACAAAAACAAAGGTTAAAATATAATTTATTATGATTAAGGAAAGATAAAATTATTACTCCAATATCCATAAGCATATATAATACATTAAAAATTAATTGAAAAGCTGTAAATGGAAAAGGAATCACCATTTAAGGAATCATTATTTTTAATTTTTTGGATCATTTCTTCATGTAAAAGTTTCTATCCATACGTAACAATAAAGTTAAAATAGAAAATGTAGTGACACCATTCTTACTAATAGATAGTTACTTATTTTTATATATTTTTTTTGACAATTTTGGTTATATTTTCTTTAAAATAATTATTGCCTAGATTATTTTTTTAAGCTTTATTTTTAATTTTAAAAGATTGGAAATTTTATGTTAAAAATTTTAATAATAGAAAAAATGATTTATTTAACTTTTATCATCATCAATACTACTAATTTTTTTGACGTTTTTTCTTAATCTTCATCTTATCATTTATGTTATTTATATAATTTTGTTTAATCACTTATTTTTTCTTTTTTAACTCTTTTATATATATAAAGTTGGATATGTAAATGATGATGTGACATTTCTTAGAAGTTAAGATTACTATTTATCTAATTTCTCCATTTTTTGAGTTCTTTTGTCATACTAAATACAATATGTTTTATTATAATTACATTCAATATAGTAAACAACATGTTCTAGGAATTAAAACAAAATTATCATTTCAGAAAAATAAATGTTAAATTATAATTTTATTATGATTAAGGAAAAATAAAGATATTATTTCAATATCCCATAACCACATTCAATACATTAGAAATTAATTGGATATAACTGTAAATGGAAAATGAATCACGATTTAAGGAAAATAAATGTTTGCAATACCATAATAATTAAGGAGAGAGTAAGATATTATTTTAATATCCTAATTCGGAACTTTTAATCTACTACTCAATTAAAAATAGAATGCATTTAATAACATCAAAAACTTATTAGTTTAATATTTTTTCTCATTGTACTAATTCAATTCAATCAAACTTAATTTTAAAGATAAAATAACAGCTTCATTCTAATTGTTGTCAATACATTTGAAAAAATTATTGTGAAAAGGCTTTTCTTGCACCTTATTTTAATTTTCATATACTATTATTATTTTTTCTGTCATTTTTCAATGAATTTTATTTCAATTTAAAATTTAATGTTTATTCTTAAAACTCTGACGGTACAAATGAAGGTGGAGTAAAATATAATAAATGATGATTCTTTTACTAAATAAGAAGATATAACGAAATTGAAAGGGTGACGTTTTTTTTTTTTTGTAAATGGATAGGAAATTCTATTAAGGTATCTTTATGTCATTATTCAATATATTTTTAATATAAATTTCATTTGTTGATGCATTTGTTTAGTACTCCCTCTGTCCCTAATTACTTGTTTACTTTTCCTTTTATAGTTGTCTCTAATTACTTGTCCATTTTGACAAATCAAGAAAGAATATTTTTTTACCTATTATACCCTCAATTAAATGAGCAATTACTTTGAAAATTACAGAACTTTTCATCTACTTCATAATTAATAGGGGTAAAATGATAAACTGACTATGTCATTAATTGATTTCTTAATAAATGCGTAAATTTAAAAGTGGAGAAGTAATTAGGGACAACGAGAGTATTACAGTCTTATTTGACATTATGAGATATTTCTTAGACATTTAAGGAGAATGGTAGACCGAAATATATATTATATATTAAAGGATGAACTTCATGCAATGGAAGAATTTGTTATTAGCAAATATATTTTAACTTATTTGATAAAAAATATATTCTTCCTCATTTAATAGATGTAAAATTTGTGAAGCTTTATTTTTTTTCACAATCTTCATATTATTAAGACAAATAATAATATTACAATTAAACAACAAAGTAAATATAAAATTAAAAAAATTTATTTAATTTAAATGATCGCGCGAAGTGCGGCCAAGTTCTCTAATTTAAAACAAAAAAGTAAAATTTAAATGGGTCTACTATAGAATTCCTAGAAATCCAACTTGAAAAATTATGCTAAAAATGGAAAATAAAAAGTGAAATAAATTTAATTGAGAGTTATCCTTCGTCTGTCCCATTTTATGTGAGACTTTTTATTTTTCGAGAATCAAATAGTTTAAGTTTAACCATAAATTTGCGTATGATATCTTCATTTTTTTTTTTAAATTTGGACAAATTAGATAAATAGTAATGTTAGCTTCTAAGAAATGTGACATCATCATTTACATATCCAACTTTTATATATATAAAAAAAGAGTTAAAAAAGAAAAAAAAAGTGATTTAAGAAAATTATATAAATAACATTAATGATGAGATGAAGATTAAGAAAAAAACGTCAAATAAATTAGTTGTATCGATGATGATAAAAGTTAAATAAATCATTTTTTCTATTATTTAAATTTTTAACATAAAATTTCCAATGTTTTAAAATTAAAAAAAAATGTTAAAAATTAAAAAAATAAATGGAGGCAATAATTATTTTATTAAAGAAAAATATGTGTAGAAAAAGTAGAAGTAGATGAAGCCAAATGAGTAATAATAATAATTCTAATAAGGACTAATGAGTAATAATAATAATTGCAATGTTAGTCCTTGGTGTTAGTCCTTCTATTAATGTACAATTGTTTTTGCACATTGTACAACTAATTAATGCAGTGAAAAGTTAATGTACAAAATTGTATGCATGTTGTACAAGAGTATTAATGCAATGTTGGTCCTTTCCAACTCTCACTTCTAAATAAGAGTAATATTATATGTACTTCAGTATTATTTTGATTATTTACCTAACATAAGTATTTATTTTTTATATTGGAGTTATCGAGAAATTTTATCAAAGTTGATTATTGCTCAAAATTGGATATTTGATTTTAAAATCAAAATTGAGAGTGAAAACAATCTTCACTATATTAAATTCTAATAACTTCTTTGTGTCACATGATTGTAATAAATAAAAAAAATCAAAAAGAATCTTCTTAATTCATACTATCTCCTATACATATTAAGTAAATTACTCATGTACTGAACCTCTTAAGAATGTGCTATTTATTATTATTAGTATTAGTATTAATTATTAAATTATTCTCCAAAAATATAAAGTTATTAAAAACATGATGGAAAAAAAAAATGAATTTAAAATAATCTCAAAATTTCTCTTAAACTTTTTAAAAACTTACTTATTTTGAATTATGAAAAATAAATCCAAACACAAACACAAAAAATAAAAATAAAAAAATCTCCCTTTGTCCCCAACCCCTTTGTCCCCCCACTCAAGAGAAGGCCCAAAGTCATTGCAAATAGGTAAAATTTTGAAGGAGGACCAAAAATGCATCAATATTGCAAATATGAGGGACTATTATTGTTTCATGTGAAAATTCAAAAATAACTTTGAGTCTTAACCCAAAGATGACGGACTATTTTGGGACTTTTCTCCCCACCTCCACCTAACCTCTCCGGCCAAATTCCTTGCCGCACATCTTCTCCAAGATCAAATAAAACTTCAATCATCAGCCCATAAGCATAATTTTTGCTTTCCAATAATACGTAAAAAATCAATTTTGATCAGATTGTAAATGGTTGCAGCAGCAAACCATTAAAAATGGACTAGCAGGATGGCGATCACTCCTTTTTCTTCAGTAACAGCCAACTCCGTTATTTTAAGATACCGCCATTTCTCTACTCTTGTTCAGATTTTCTCCGAACAAACCACCAAGACCAAAAATGGCAAACACCTTGATAATCCCAAGCCGAAATCATCTTCTTCTAAATCCAAGAAAGCTAGAAATATTGCCAGTATCATCAACACAAACCCATGGTCATCTCATCTTGAATCTTCTCTTTCCTCACTCACTCAACCCTCCCTCTCTCACACCACTGTCCTTCACACACTCCGCTTCATCAAGATACCTTCCAAAGCTCTTTACTTCTTCAACTGGACTCAAAAATTGGGTTTTCAACACACCCATCAATCGTATTTACTCATGTTGCAACTTCTCGGCAGTTCCCGCAGCTTAAATTCAGCAAGGAACTTTCTTTTATCTATACCCAGAAGGTCTAATGGTACTGTACCGCTTCAAGATAGGTACTTTAACACTTTGATTCAAAGTTATGGTAAAGCTGGGCTTTTTCAAGAATCATTGAAGGTGTTTAAAGTGATGAAGTCACTTGGAATTTCACCCTCTGTGGTTACGTTTAATAGTTTGTTTTCAATTTTGCTTAAGAGGGGTCGAACCGGTATGGTCTACGAACTGTTTGATGAAATGCTTAAGACATTTGGTGCCAAGCCTGATGTGTATACTTTTAACATTTTGATTAGAGGATTTTGTATGAACTCCATGGTTGATAAAGGATTTAGGTTTTTTAAGGAGATGGAAAGGCATGAATGTGAACCGGATGTGATTACATACAATACCATTATTGACGGTTTGTGTAGGGCAGGGAAAGTGGAGATTGCACATAACGTGTTAAAGGGTATGGTCAAGAGGGGTCATCAATTGAGTCCTAATGTTGTAAGCTACACCACTTTGGTTAGAGGGTATTGTGAGAAGCAAGAGGTTGAACGGGCTCTTGATGTTTTTGAGGAAATGATAGATTGTGGTCTAAAACCGACCAGTATTACTTATAATACTCTTGTACAAGGTCTTTGCGAGGCTAAAAGATTTGACAAAATAAAGGAGATCTTGGAGGGGACTCTAGGAAGTGGAGGACTTATTCCAGATACATGTACTTTCAATACATTGATTACCTATCACTGTAATGTGGGAAATCTGGATGAAGCAGTGAAAGTTTTTGAGAATATGTTAGACTTAAAGGTGAAACCTGATTCAGCAACAAATAGCATCTTATTACGGAGCTTTTGTCAAAAGGGATACTTTGATAGGGCAGAGAAATTATTTGATGACTTAATGAAGAAGGAGGTATTGCTTCGTGATGATGGCTGTACACCTCTCATTGCAGCATACAATCCCATGTTTGAGTATTTCTGCAAGATTGGCAAGACAAAGAAGGCTGAGAAAGTATTCAGGCAACTAATGAGAAGAGGAACTCAAGATCCTTTTGCTTATGAACTCCTGATCATGGGGCATTGTAAAGAAGGCACATTTAATGACGCACATGAACTCTTAGTTTTGATGTTGAGGAGAGATTATGTACCTAATATTGTGATTTATGAGTCCCTAATTGAAGGTTTGCTGCAAAAGAATGACCCTAAAGTTGCTTACGATACTCTAGAGAAGATGTTGAAAAGCTCCCATCTTCCGAGATCATCGATTTTTCATCAAATCCTTACAGAACTTATCAAGAAAAATTGTGCAAGTGAATGTGCTTCCTTGGTGACACTAATGTTAGATAACAAAGTTAGACAAAACATCAATCTTTCAACTGATACTGTGAGGATACTCTTCCAAACAGGATTAAGGGAGAGAGCTTTTGAGATTGTTCGGTGCCTTTATGAAAATGAATACGTGGTAGATATGGAAGGTTTGGTTGCTTTCCTTTGCCAGTGTAGAAAGTTATTGGAGGCATGCAAATTATTGTTATTTAGCTTAAGTAAGGGTCATATTCTGAATGTAGATACATGCAGTACTCTTTTATCTGCTCTCTGCAAAGCAAGTAGAGCTTCAAAAGCATTTGAAATTTACTATGAGTTGCTCGAGAAAGGAGTCCAACAACCTTTAGAATGCGTAGAAGAGTTGGGGATTGCTCTTGAAACTGAAGGAAGAACTAAGGAAGCTGAATTTGTTAAAAAGAGAATCCCAGGCCAATCGTAGTCAGATAGATTGGTTCAAGCTTGTGCGTCTGAAAGGAGATATCTGCATGCCGGAGTTCTACTGTTTCTTCAATTATTATGTCAAACCACATTTTGTTCTGAGATTTGCATATGATACTTAACTTACATGGTGATGCTAGCTGGGGATGGATTCCTCTGGAATGTGATTATGAGTGATATCAGGTTCATGATTCCTGTTTCTCTTGACAATGGAGAAGTCTGATTTGGACAGAACTGAAAAATATTGAAGAGCGAAAACTTAATAGTCCCTGAGCTCTCTGGTTCACCATCTGGAGCAAATTTGTTGCTTAGTAATGTTGGCCTTGCAGGTACGGTTATTAAAGAGAAATATGGTGCAAGTGCATGCGCGCAGGGGATAGGTCTTACGCTTAATTACAACAGCCTTGGACATGTTAAACAGTCAAAAACTCCATATTTCTCAGATGAACAATTTGACGACCTTAATAGTGTTTCTTTCTCCAATTTTAAGTCGTCGTCTGATCTTCTTCCTACCAAGCAATATCAATGATTACAATTTTTTAAACACACGGCTTCAACCAAGGGCCTGATAGACTTGTACCTTGAAGTTTATACATTATGTATTGATTTTTGGCTTTTGTAAAAAATCTTCCAAATCCATTTTTATTTGAGTAAAATTCTTCATAATATGCTTCTCAGTCTCATGGCAAATGCCTGTTTTTCTGGAATTGAACTAGATGTACTATAGCTTTCTTTACCGCAGGATGAAAAATCTATTATCTATCATGCATGCTGAGAATTGACACAGAGGATGGTAGAACACATGCTTTATTACTAGCAAAGTTATATTTCAAAGTTCAAGCAGCTTATTATCTCACTGCTGACGCCTTTAGGGACAAGAGATTATCCAAATGTGTTACATTTTCACTGCTCTCCTGTGGGGGGCCAAATATCTCCCAGAACCTAAGAGTCTCATCTGCTCCAGCCGATACCAGAGTCAAACCATCAGGGCTCTGCATGAAGAGAAGGGAAGTTACCGTCTCAATTTTGATAAAACTATTACTCCTACTTTCTTTAATTTCAAGTCTCACCTGGGAGAGATGCAGAATTCTTGATGAAGAAGCATGACGCAATGGCTCTCCTATTCTAGCCATGGAAGGATAACTCCATAAACACAACTGACAATGAGATTCACCTGTTCCAAACCCATGGCCACTTAATATCTCTTTGTGATGCCTGTTCCATTGAAGTCCACAAATCTGCCAATTTCATTCACAACAATACCATGTATATGAGGAAAATTTGTAATAATCAAACTTATGATGGAAATTTGTGATAAATCTATAAACTGAAATGTCATTGCTCAGAAAGATTGCAAAAGTGATGTTAAAACTTGCCTGAGCTCCAGTTTCATTGGTGCTGATGCATGTCCCCTTCTGTGTGTTCCAAATCTTAAGACATCCATCATCTATGCCCCCTCCAGAGGCTAATACATCACTGCTATATGGACACCAAGCTAGGGCCTTGACTGCAGCATGATGTTCATTGAACCGGTGCATATAATGCCTTGAGCTCGTCTTGAAACTATCCCATATGTACACCAGATTGTCATTTCCACCACTGGCAAGTGCATTCCCCGTGCTAGACCACTTCACGCCACAAACTTCCCCTCTATGTGCTCTCGTTACAGAGACCAAATTGCTTCTTGCTCGCACTGCCAATGAGAATTACAAGTAAGTAGGCTGCTGTTACAATAGAGATTAGTCAAATACATCAATGGAATAGCTTAGTACTACCATCATGATTAATGATAGCTCTGTCTTTACTCCCTGAGGTTAAAATATGACCATTCCATGAAACACAACCCACTCTACTCTGATGGCCTTGCAGGTCTCTCACCTGTTTATGTGAACGAAAGAAGTTGATTACTTCAATGTAAACAACAAGAAAGAATACTGTTTCTACTACAATGTAACCAACATTAACAAGTCTTACAAGCCTGGAAGTCTCAGCATCCCAGAGCTGGAGTTTAGAGGAATCACAACCAACTGCTACTATTTTCCCATCATCAGACCATGCTACACTAGTAGGACTGTCGTCTTCACGCTTCACTTCCATCAGTACCCCAGCTTTTTGCACTTGAGCATTCCATATATATAGAATTGACCCCAGAACAACAGCAAGTATGTTGGATTTTCCCCAATCCATAACATTCGAGTAATAGTCATCCGATAAAAGAGGAGCATCTAAAGTTCGAGTTGCTTTCTGCATATAATATCCCAACATATTACATAACACAATCAATAGTCTCATAAACTTCATCTAAATTCAAGTCTTACCAAAGGAAACTTTCGATATCTCCTATTCTCATTAATTTGCAGGGGAATTTCTTTGTCACTACGCCTCATTTCATCAATTAGACGCGTAGATTGTCTACTCGATTTAGGACTTCCTCTAAAAACCATCATTCTGAATGGTCTTCCTTCTACATCCAACTTTAGATTTTCCTCCATTTTCCTTCTATATTCATCCTATCAAAATCATACAAGAAAACAACTAAAATGGGTGTCCAGATACAGAATTTCTTTCCACAATCAGCAATCGCAAGAAAAATTAAAACGCGATGAAGAAACAAGTCAAGCAAGAAACTAACATTGAAGTTTGGTTTTCGGAGTTTGTTATTCGTTCTGTTGGTGAGTAAAGTATGTGCTTGATCAAGATCCATCAGGCTTCTATTGGGTATAAATCTATCACCCTGCATCACAAAAACACTCAAAATCACATATCAATTCATCAAAATGCAGAAAAACATAAATTAACAAAGGAGAGAAAAAAAAACGCATAGTGTGGATTGATTAATTACAGGAAAATCATAGTCGAGCGGAGTATCGTGAAGGCGAGTTGGAGAATACCAATCTGCTTGAATTCTTGTTAATGAATTGTCATTCATTTTCGTACATTTCTCAGTAGCCTTTTCAAATCTTGTTTTGTTAATTTTCAGAGTTTCTATATTGCTGTAAAGCTTATTGAGAATGGTAGTTAAAATTAATGGCTGTTTCGCGCCAAATTAGTTTGTTCACTAAAGGAGACCTCGGTTTGTTTCCCCTCAACGGTAATTATTTATTTTAAACATAAATAAAAGAGGAAATTGTAAAACCAACTGTTACAAACACTTCACGCGGTATAATTGTAATTTAAAATGAACTTTTTTATAAATTAAGTAGAAATAAAAAGGTGAATTCTATTTTGATTAGAGCCGAGATTTGTGTTTCCTCTTAAATAAAATAATTAAGAAAAGAAATAATATTTTCACATTAAGTTGACATCAGAGAAAACGATAATGTTATAACATTTTTAAAAATCGAATTACCAAATTAAGGTTTTAATACAATATCATGTTCATTCCCAATTAACTTTAATTCAAACACGATATATTCATACATGAAAGCAATTAACTATTATTTAAAAATCAATTGAAGAACCAAATAGACAATATATAAGTATTCGCGGATTTTAATCAATTTCATGCAGATAAAGAAATTATGGATACGTTATTTATGATAGCTCCCATAATAATTTATTGAAAATTCTACTTCTAATAATTTATAATTTATAATTTCATTTAAAAAAAAAAAACTAAAACTCTTAACCTAAAGTAATCTAAGAAGAGAATCTTATTTTCCATCCCAATAAAAAGAATTCATCTAATTAGTTATTTTCTTTAAATTGGGCATAATTCAAAATTTTATTTTTATAGAAGTACAAAAAAGATACTCAAAAACCTATATACCAAATAACTAATATTTTAAAATAAAGAAATAAATAAAAGAAAGTAAAAAGAACAAAGAAAGGAAGAAAATGTAATTTAAGGAAATGATATAAATAACACTAATGATGAGATTAAGGGGAAAAAATTAATAGCATTAATGATTAAATGATTTAAAATTTGGAAAAATGCAAAATAGATAAACTTTTAAGACAAATTTTTGAGCAATTTAAAAATATAAGAGAAAACGTAAAAATAGTTTTTGATAAAACCAAATAATATTTGAATTAAGAAGAGTGTCATCATTTTCTATTTTTAACTTTATTATTTGGCATGGGTATAATCGTATAGATCTTTAGCATAAAAGATGATATAATTTTTTTATAAAAAATAAAATCAAATTACATTAAGAAATATTACTATATGTTTTACAAAATTATGATAACTAATTTCTTGTAGTAAATAAAATAAAGTATTTTTTAAAATAAAAAGTGATTTAAGACAATGATATAAATGACATTAATTATCATATTAAGGTAAGGAAATAAGAAAATTAATATGATCGTTGATGAACAAAATCAAATATGATAGCCATTGATATTTTTGTAAAATTTTAAAGTGAAACTTTTAGTCTTTTAAAATTAAAAACTGTCAACAAATTAAAGTATAATTTTAAAGATAGATAAAAAAATAAAAGAGACATTAATTAAAGGTGGTACATAAGGAAATTTAAAAAAAAATGGAATTAGAAGATACACAAGGAAAAATGAAACAAAAAAACTAAAGAAAAAAAATTAGAAGAATAAAGAATGAAAAAAAATAATGTGAGCACTAATTTTGGATCCTTTCAATTTATAATTCACAATATAAATTTCTCCTTATTCTCCTCCTAATTTAATATGAATTTAATAAATAAATTGATTTTTTCTCTAAATAATTCTTCTTACCACTCATTATTTTTTCTATAAATTTTTCAATTAGAATGAATTTTTTTTCAATACAATTTTCTTGTAGAAAACATTATAGTGCAACATCCTTCAAAAAAATATTCTTTTTGAAGACAAACATTTGTTACATGACTTTTTTTCTTATATCAATATCTTGAAGAATCATGAGATACTCTATCTTTCTCTTTTCATAAAGAAATCATATTCTATCATCAGAAGAAGAAGTGACAAAGTTAAGGTGTTCACTTTTGTTGATTTTAATGCTTAATTTTTATTTTTATTTTTGTAGGCTAAATATAAATAATTTTGAGAATTATTTTTATATGTATATATATTTGTAATTGTACA